TATCACTAGGGTTTTCTTTTCTTCATTTTTGACAAACATACAATAAATTTGATATTAATATAATAACTAATATTATAATTATTTCATTTCAAGATAAAAACTAAATAGAAAATCTATATATAGAACTAAAAACAAAAGCGTTAAAATAAAGTTATTTTGATGTTATTTGTTTTTATTATTCTATTATGAAATGGATGAAATAAGAAAGAAAATGAATAATATAACCAAAATGAAAAGTAGAATTAATTTTACTTCTTAGCAAAGACAGCTTGGATGAACAATTCATATCTGATTTGTCCTTCTTGATTTTCAGCAACAGTTTTCAATTCACCTACTTCTGAAGTAGTGCATCTTTCACCAATATTTAATAAAGCTTCAGTTAATTCTTTTGAATCAATAACACCTTTTTCTTCTGGATCAAAAACTTTAAAAGCTTCTGTTAATTTTTGTTCAGTTGAAGCTGTTTTCATTTTTCCAGTCATCATGTTAATGAATTCCATGCATTCAATTTTCTTATCTCCATCAGCATCAGCTTCTTTGAAAGCAGCATCAAGGTCTTCATCTGTTACACGAATACCATTAGTTTTGAATAATTTTTTAACATCATCTTTATCTAAATATCCTTTTTTTGAGGAATCAAACATATCAAAGGCATCCTTTAATTCACCAACAAGTTCTTGATCAACTTCTTCGTCTCTTCTTCTTGACATCTCTAAATTTTAAAGTTCTTTTTTAAGTTTTTATATTAGTACTGTCTTTTATTCTTGCTTTTGTCTATCTTTAGTTTATTCTTTCTCCATACTTATTTATTAATTTACTACTAATCTTTACTATTCATTTTACTATTTATTATATCATTAGATGTTCTCAACGTTTTTAAGTTCTTGATTATTTATTTTGAGTTTTTCATTGTTTCTTGTCTCCTTAAACTTTTTTGTTTTCTTTTTAAATTCTTTTTTATTTTGAAGATTTAAAAATGGTTTTTAATAACTTTTCAAGAATAACAGAAAAAATAATACTAATATTGAGATTTTTTTCTTCTTTCCTTGTATCAAATTATCAATCTATTTACTTATCTTTTTTTTGCTGAAAGTAAAATGATAAAAGGAAAAAGATGAGAATTACGTTTATGAATAAAAACACTCTCGTTATTTAATGCATTAAAGAAGAAGTTTAAATCCACTCGTTGATAAAGAAAAAATCATTACAAATATTTAAAAATATTAATAAGATTTAAGCAATTATATAAATGATATTTCTCTAGTATGTTTTCAGTTATTATACACTATAGAATGGCAGGATTTTCAAGTTTATTAACTTTAATAAAATGGGTGGTTTATATAATTAAAAGAAAATACTCTTCTTTTTCATTTCAATGTCTAAATTACCTTTTATTAATTTTAACAGTACTTCTTATTATTAGATAAAAAGAATAAGCTCTAATATAGCAATATCATTAAATAAGGAACAAAGTAATAGTATTAAAACTGAAAAAAAAGAAATAGGATGGATCAAATTCATAGACTTAGTTAGTTGTATTGTTATTTTTATATTTTGTTATAAAAACAAGAGAGTTATTGACTCAATTAATATTCTTACTCTCTTAATTATATCACTAAAATATAATTACATTCAATGCAATTAGTTATTTCAAATAAATATTCACTGCATTTAAAATATATAGATTATTCAGACACCTAACAAAATTAAATAAAGTATCGTGGATTTAAGAATTTTTTATTATCATTTTAAGCTTTAATTAATCATATCTCTTTCATTTAGTTATTATTAATTAACAATAGTAGATGAAAATAACTACTAACTGTGATATTTTATTGTAATGTGATTAAATATTTTTGATTTGATAATGTAAATAACTGTCTCTATTTATCTATGAAATAAACCACATCTTACAGTAAAGAAAATTTGAAATATCTTAACTCAAGACGCAGAAGTTAACTAACATTTTCTATATTCGTAAGATTTAACATATATTTGTATTGATCTAAGTTAAATCACTTAGTGTCTTGTTTGTTTTAAAAACATCAAGACTTAAAAAATTATAAGAGGTATGTTCACTGAATAATAATTAGCATTTCTAGACTAGTAGAAAAAAGAATAATGAACGCTTAATGAAATTAAGTTTAAAACCTTTATGAAGAATGAAGTATGTAGTCAATTAGCCAATTGAATCAATTTAGAAATTTATCATCATAAAAACAACAAGTTAATACTATCACCCTTAATATTTATAACATTAAAATTAAAAGATAAAAAGAATTTTTGAACTTGTTTCAATTATTTATGTATTTGAGATAGGCATAAGTGAGTTGTTTGAGTTTCAAAACAACTAAAAAATAGGAGCAAATTCAAAAGTAAGTATCATTAAAGTAATTGTATGACTAATAGGTTAAGACATAAGACCTATTTAACTTCACAAAAATAAAGAATTGCTGTATTAAAGAGAGGTGTTTATGAAACTAATCAAAAAGGAGATTACTATTAATCTTCAAATCCTTATCTGAGAGAAGAAAAACTAAAGAGGTTCATTACACATTCAAAGTGTTAATAAAAAGAATAATTAACATAGTAAAATGGTTAATGAAATACAACAAATGACTTGTTTTATCATTATTTCTTCTGTTTTTGTCTTTTTCAAAAAGAGAAAAAAGTTCTTCAGAAAGGCAAACAATGCAAACGCCTCCATGTCTTGTAGGGGTGACTGGAATACAAAATCCTGTAAATGATGCGCAAACCATTAGCACAAACCTTACACCACAAACTATAACATGTTATGGTATCTCCAATTTACATGTGAACATAAATAAAAACCCAAATGATTCACACTCTGAATTAAGACCTATTCTTCCTTCTTTAGATACATTCCAATCAACGCCAAGTTCAATAAAAGAAATTCAAATTGAACAATATCCTACGGTTCCTCCAGTTCAAAACAGTGAGAATGAGCAAAAAATTGTACAAACAAATAAAGATGAAAATAAACCAAAAAATGAGGTGGTAGAAACTATTAAAGAAGAAGAAGTTAGCTATGAGCATCTTGAGGAAAATATAATAAATACAGAACAAAAAGAAACTGATACAACGAAAAAATTAATAAAAAAAATAACAAAAAGAAAAAAGAAGGTAACAAAGAAGGATAGTCAAGAGTGTAAAGAACAGAACAACAACCATATAATAAATGAAGAACAAAACGAATGTAGTACAGAAGACACAACTAAGACAAAGAAAATAACTAAAAAAAGAATTGTAAAAGCAAAAACTACTCAAAAAGAAGGAAAGGAAGAAGAGAAAGAATTAAATGAAATGAAAGATAATACTGAAACAAAAACAAGCAAAGAAAAAAAAAGGTCAAAGAAGATAGTAAAAAAAGAAGATAAAAAAGAGGTTCAAAAGATGGATGAAGTTTGTGTAAGTAAACAAGAAGAAACAAAAACAAATGAAATAAAAAAAGAATTACATAATCCTAATGATGAAGAAATTGTAGAAAAAGTAGTTCAAGAAAATATAGAAAAAAAGAAAGAACTGCTAAAAGAAGAGATTAAACTACTAGAAGTAGATGAAACAGCAAAAAGAATTAAAGAAACAATAGAAAATGAGTCTCAGAAGAAAAAACGAATTACTCCACAAATTGTAGATCCAAAAGAGGTACAAACAACTGAAGAAGAAAATAAGAAAGAAGAAGAAAATACGTCAAAAGAGATTAAGTCAATCGAACCTATGGAAGAAGAAATTCAGGACCTAGATATTGCACAAAGACTTGATTCTAGAATGTTTTCTATTGATATAGAAATAGGAAAAGACAAACAAATTCATGTTGACAAAGAATTTAAGAAGTGGTTAGAACAACAAAATATTAGTATGTATGGAGAAGGGTGGGCAGCCAAATTTAAGGAAGAAAATGATGAAGTAGATGTAAAAGGTATTGAAAATGAAGAAGAGGAAGAAGAAGATTCAGAAACTATTGATACTAATAAAGAAGATATTATTGGCGAAGAAGAGGATTTTGAAGAAACCTGGAAAAGAGCTGAAGAACGAAAAGGTCGAAGAGAAAATCCATATACATCAGTTATTGGTAAGTTACAACAAAAGCTTTTTGTTCAAAAAAAGTCAACAAGGGGATATGGTTATGATTTGGCAGACAATTTTATTGATGATGGATATGATTATTCATTGCCTCGATGTACTGTTCGTCCTGAAATTCGTATTGAAAATGCTGAAAAAGTTCAACGGTTAACAGCCAAGAGGCAAGCACTTAAATTAAAGAAGGTTGAAGAAAAAGAAGAAAAAACTAATGAAGAACAAGAAAAAGGGACACCAAACAATGAAAATAAAAGCGAAGACAAAGAAGAAATAACTGATTCTCAAGATAAAAAAAGAAAGGGTAAAAAACCACTACATAAAGAAGAAAAGGAGTAAACCAAATTATATAATTGAAAATTGTTTCATTTCTTTTTTTAATATAATTAATCATTAATCAGAATGGTCATTAATAGATTTATATTACTATAAATATATGATTTAACTATTATTACAATAATAAGTTAATCAAGCTCTTTTAAGCTTCTTTAAACTAACCCCATAGATAACAGACATATTTTAGTTATTAATTATTACCCATTTATGTTATACTTAACGTAGAATAATAAGCAATTTTTTTATTTTATTAACATTATTAAGGAATGTCAGTTCCATGTTTAAACAAAAGACACTCTTTATGTGTTAATTTTACAAACTACTATTGACGATAGTCATTTTAATAAGTCTTGTAAATAAGTATTTCCATTAAATGTTAATAACCTTTATTTATTCCTGACAAAAGACAATAAGAAACAAATAACATATTTATTAAGAAATTTTTGTTAGAATAATACGATTAAAATAAAAATTACAAATTACTTAAAGAAAAAGGAATGAATTATTTTGTGTTAGTTCATTTCAACAGAAGTGAGTCATACAAAAATCAGCATTAACATAATCCAATGCTTCCAAATAATCAGTAACAACTTCAATAAGGGTGATTGATTTTATTTGAGTTGGAATAATTTTAAATAATAAATGAGAATGAGGAGCAAGAATGAATAACATTCTGACTTCCTTTTCTTCTGATTTAATAATACCACCCTTCATATAACAATTATCGACCTTATTCTTTATTTCATCATATGAAATATCAAGAGGAATATTTGATTTATAAGCTAATTTATTCCATAACATTTCATACAGTCCATTTGCAGTGTTTTGGGTTTTCATAATTTCTAATTGTGGGGAAACACAAATAAAATCATTAAAGTTTAATTTAAGTCCTTCAGTGACAATATTTAATCTACATAAATCTGCATGTGAGTCAGTAACAATGACATATGGGTCTACACTCATTGAACATGGGTGTGGAGCATTTAATGGTAATTCAAGCATTACTTTGTTAATATCATCACTACCATTTCTTTGCAATAATGGATGAATATATTTAATAGTATTTGTTTTAATAGTTTTATAATTATTTTGAATAGTAAATGTAAAAGGCACAACATAAAATTCATCATCAACAGATTGTGATGATTGGACAGTAAGTTGCATTGGAATAATTAAATTACTTTCAGTTTTATTTAACATTTCAATATAATTATCTGATTCAGTAGAAAGATTTCCAGTAATATTAATTTGACTCATTTGATTTGTTTCATTTCTTTTTAATATAACAACACCTTCACTTCGTTCTTCTTTTTCTTTTCTTTCAACTTCTTCTTCATCTTTATTAATAACTCCTTTCATCTTTCGTATGTCAATCCTTACAACACCTCCTCTTCCTGCAACCCCATCTATCATTCCTTCAAAATCTTTTAGACTAATTCTCATTGCGTCATCAGTACTATTTAGACAATGAATAAAACTATCTTTTTCGGTAGATGATTCAATATCTTCTGACAATAACTTTTGTAATTTAGCAATACTAATGACAATTCTACCATCTTTACCAACTTCATTAATGTTCTTTGATCCAACAAGATCAAGGAAATCGCTTGTTTTTAAGGTCATTTTTGAATCAGTTCCAATTAAAGGATAATTTCCATGAGTAAGTAATTTTTGCAGCTTTTGAACAGACATATGATGAATACATCTTAAATAAAATAATGACCAATCTCTTAATAATGAATCTTTACTATTCTCTTTTAATACAAGTAAAATTGTGATTATTCTATTTATATTACTTGCGAGTTTTGAATCAATATTTAAAATTAGTGCCTTAATAACTTTAAAAACACAAGTATATAACGATAATGAATTGAATGTGAAAAACATTTTAGAATTGATAATCATTTGTAACTTATCGAGTACTAAAGAAAAATATGATTCTTTATTAAATTGTAAAAGATAAATCAACATTCCACAATATAAATAATGAGATGGTATGGTTGTAATATTTTTCATTGCATACGGTAACATTTCAATAATATTATTTGGTGTAAAGTTAGTACATTTCAATAACCCATATATTTTAATAATTAACATATAATTACTATCTTTAATTGTTGGAATAAAGAATTGTTTAGCAAATGGAGACAATATACCACCAATCATACTATCATTATTACCCAAATTAATTAATAATGAAATTGCAGATAATCGCGTACTTTCTTTTATACTAAAATTACTACAAATATCCAATAGTCTCATAACAATTGAATATCTTAAACGGTCATATCTTCTTTGATCATTAAAAGTACTTATTACACTTAACAAACCAAGCAATTGAGAAGGGTCATAACAATTTGTTAAATAACTAAATTGTGGAATATATAATGAATCTGGTGATAAAGCAGAACATCTAAAAATAATAGGAAAGAAAGTAGACAAATGAAGAATATCCCAATATCTACAACTCTGATATGTATCAACAACAACTGACAAATGTTGTTTTAAGAAAGTAGAAGTTTCACTAAGTTGATCAGGAAGAACATCAAATAATTGAGGAAGAGGATCAATAAGTTGAGGAGCTGTATATAATTTGATTTGACTTGGATTATTATCTGATTGTGAGGCAAATGATGTAGTAGTTATTTTTTGATTAAATGAAATTATTGGAGAATAAACTGGATATTCATTAGCTGATTTTCCATTTTGCTCTACAATTAAAGAATTTGATAAAATTGTTGAATATAATATTAAACAAGGACTATCTGGTCCACTTGATCGTGTTAATTTTTCAATATAATCGATTGCCCCTTTTAATAAAGTAGGAAATGTCATTTCAAGTTCAATAAGAGTTGAAACAGCAAGAGATAATAATGATAATTCATTAAATTGAGTTAACCCAAGCATATCCCCAGCAAATTTAAAAAGATGAGGAATTTTATTTCCACACGTACATACTATCAGTGTTTGTGCTTGGGTAACTAATTGTAATAAAGTTAATCCTCCTTGAGGAATACCGTTAATTCCTGTTATTCCACCACTACAAAAAATAGGAACTTTACCACTTAATAATTCAAGACGATATCTGTTAAGAACATCAAAAATTTTTGTTATTAATGGAACGTTTTCATTTTCTAAAATTCGACAAAGCACAAATTCATTAAAATATCTTAATGTTGTAATAGCAAGAATTTCATTATTTTCTCCCCATATACTTTGAAAAAATTTAATAGTTGTTTCTGTAGAATTCCAATCAACAAGGTGATGATCTTCATTAAATGAAACTAATTCTTCATTCCACTCACTTAGTGTCTTCGGAAACAAATCAACACTTTGCATTCTGTTTTCTTCTTTTTAAGTTCATTAATTTTTAAGTTTCTAATAGCAATAACACAATTTTATTATTTTTATGTTGTGTTTTTTATAAAGTCTATCAAAAAAGTAATTGGTAAATAATTAAACTTATCAAAAGATCAAAGTAACTTAGAATAAACAACTTAGAACCAAAAATTAATATAAACTCCCGAATAATTCCATGAAGAAAGTTCAAATGGTGATGAATTTAAAGAAAAACATAAAAAAAGAGAAAAAGCAGAATCAGGAGATATCTCAGCACAAAAGTAAAAAAGAGATCTTCAAAAGATAAAATGTCAACTGCTACTACATCAAACCCAGAAACAGAAAGAATTATGAAAAAATTCTCTAAATATGGAGAAATTAATGAAATATCTCAACAATATGAACCAACTCCATATAAGAAAGTTGAAGCTGAACCAGTTGCTAAAGACTTATGGAATAATAACATTATTTGGGAATTTGCAAAAGGACTTTCTCCTGGTGTTGATTTAACAAGAATTCCTTTTCCAGTTTGTATTACTCAAGCACGTTCATTCTTACAAAATTTCACTGATTATTTTGAACATTGGAATTATCTTAGCCTTGCTGCAAATGAGGATGATCCCTATAAAAGAGCTAAATTAGTTGCACAATGGTATCTTTCTGGATTTGCACATGCTATGAAAGTAGTAAGAAAACCATATAATCCAATTCTCGGGGAAGTTTTCCGATGTATGTGGGAAGATCCAAAATCAAAATCAAAAACACATTATATTGCTGAACAAGTTTCTCATCATCCTCCAATTTCTGCTTTTTATGTTTCTAATAGAGAAGATGGATGGATTGGTTCTGGAACTATTACCTTTTCAGTAAGTTTCTATGGAGTTTCTGCTTGGGCTTATTTAAATGGAGTTCAAAAAATTAAGTTATTGAAATATGATGAAGAATATACATGGGCATTCCCACCAACTAAAGCATCAGGATTTTTTGTAGGACCTTTTATTATGGAAATGGGAGGAGTTGTAGAAATTAGATGTAATAAAAACCCATACTGGGCATCACTTGATTTTAAAACAACTTCAATGTTTTCATCTGCTAATCTGTACAAAGTTGAGGGTAAAATTATGAATGGGTCAAAACAAGTTGATACTATTCAGGGTCAATATTTCGAGAAAATCACTCTTAATAATAAAGAAACCTTCTTTGATGCTAAGAACCCACCTGAATCACCAATCAGATATGAAGTTCCATTCGAGAATTTGTGGGGAAAAGAGTCTCAATATGTCTGGCAAGACCTTACTAAGGCAGTTATTAAAGGTGATGGACAAGAAGCAGCTGATAAGAAATATGAAGTAGAAGAATGGCAAAGACAAGAAAGAATTCAAGACCAAAAACAAGGAAAGACTTATGTTCCAAAATTCTTTGAAAAAGTGAATGATACTACATATAAATATTTGTTCTATAATGAAGCACCATTCCAAAAAGGAGAAGAAGAAGCATATGAAATGGCTGGAATGATTATGTCAAGAAGAAAGCAACTTTAATTAATTCTTTCCTTTTTTTTATGTTAATTAAATTCAATAATTGTATCATAATTAACTAAAAAAATAAGTTATGGTATTCAGTTAATAATATAATAAATTAAATCTTTCTCTTTTAACTGACTG